TTGGAAATGCTCTTAGAGGTTCTCCAATTGACACATTGATTCGTTCATGTCTTTTGGAGGAACGTTCAGGTGCCGCTTCATTTAACTATGATGTACCAGGAGCTGCATACACTCTTAAATGGACGTTTCACAATGATCTGGGGCTCGTGTTTGTTGCTGTGTATCAGAAAATTCTTCATCTTTTGTATGTGGATGAATTGCTTTCTATGGTTAAGCAGGAATTCTCAGAGATTTATGACCCAAAAAGAACTGTCTACAATGAATTTGACAATGTATTTCAGCAGCTTAGGAAGGAGGCTGAGGCACGTGCTGAGGAAATGAAGAAATCGAAGCAGGTGAGCAAGCCTGTAAACCATAATCTTGGTAAGAAGCAAGGACAAGTGCAGAAGGGCATTATGGATGGAGGCAATCAAAAAAAGAGTGGTGCTGAATCAGGAAATGACAGTGGAGATGGTGATAAAGTAAATAGTCGTGCCATGGAAAATGGTAATGGGCGTTCTAAAGGTAGTAAGGGAAATGGAGTAGTGCAGGCTAACGGTAAAGAGAATAGAAGCTCTGATTCTGGGGCTTTTGATGTAAATAAGCTACAGAAGCTTAGGGCTAAAGGTGGAAAGAAAACCGATACCATTGTAAAGGATTCCAAGGCAGAGCCTACAAAAAAGGCAAAGAAGAACAGAGTCTGGGATGATTCACCTAAGGAGTCGAAATTGGATTTCACGGATCCCATGTGTGAGAATGCAAATGGAAATACAGCAGTTGTGGAAGCAGTTCAAGGTGAGAGTATGATGGACAAAGAGGAGATTGTGAGTAGTGATAGTGAGACTGAGGAGGATGAGGAGCCAGGGAAAGACAGCAAGGTCGAGGCAAAGAAGAAAGGTTGGTTCTCATCCATGTTCCAGAGGTAATTCTCCTAATTCGAGAAAAGAAATGAGTTCATTTTTATGAAAATTAGTTAACGAAATGGCTGATATTTCTATCATATAGTCCTCACAAAATGGATCAATGGGTATATTATAGATCAGAAAGATTTTCACCCACCTCCATTATTAATCACCATGAAATTTGCCAAATTTGATTATCAGACACTAAAGAAGTATAATTGGTTTGGGAGTGTTATATGAAAACTGATAAATATTCAAGAGAAATGGGAAAAACAATTACTTTCAAGATAATGGATCTTTCTAACTGTTAAATTCTGGGCATAACCTGGGTTGCTGTTGTGTCTCCAGTATCGCAGGAAAGGCAAATTTGGACAAAGCTGACTTAGAGCCAGCTTTAAAAGCTCTTAAGGACAGGCTGATGACCAAGAATGTGGTAAGTTTACAGTTGCTTTACTCTTACTACCCGCGTTCGTTCTCCTTAACCTTCCCCGAATTGATGACCATATTTCTATCAGTCGTTTTCATTCTATAATTGGTTGATGAGTGTTACACATGTCTTACAGGCCGAAGAAATTGCTGAAAAGCTTTGTGAATCAGTGGCAGCAAGTTTGGAGGGTAAAAAGCTTGGCTCATTTACAAGAATTTCTTCAACAGTTCAGGTAAGAGTTGAGACCTTCATTCATTTACAGAGTAGAGTACTTTGTTGCTTTAAAGTACTTGCACTTGGAGGAACAATGCCATTTAATAAGTGTTCAAATCCAAGGTCTTTGATATCATACCCCTCAACATCTTCCAGGTTTTTAAGGATAAAAGGAAGAGTTAAAATGGAAAGGTGTTTCCAAAGTCGAATTATTGCATGCGAAAACTTGAAAAATCTCTTCATCTATCTTTTTTACTTTTTGGTATAGTCTGAACATTTCTTGAGCCAAGGGTCTGTCATAAACAATCTCTCTACCTGCCAAGGTAGGGGTAAGGTCTGCGTACACTCTACCTTCCCCAAACCCCACTTGTGGGACGATACTGGGTACATTGTTGTTGGTATAGTCTGAACATACTAATATAGGGGAATTGAATTGATCAAACCAGGCAGCAATGGAGGAGGCCCTTGTTCGGATCTTAACTCCTAAACGTTCCATTGATATCTTGAGGGATGTTCATGCCGCAAAGGAACAGGGGAAACCATATGTTGTGGTTTTCGTAGGAGTAAATGGGGTTGGAAAGTCAACCAATCTTGCTAAGGTAAACTAAGATTGCTCTTTTTTCTTTTACTTCAAGGGCCTTGTATATCTTCTGATGGGGTTCTTTACATGTCGTTCTGCTGCAGGTTGCTTATTGGCTTCAGCAGCACAAGGTCAATGTTATGATGGCTGCGTGCGACACATTTCGATCCGGAGCTGTAGAGCAGCTCCGTACTCATTCTCGGAGACTTCAGGTATGCCATGATTGGAAATTTTGTACTTGTTGGAATTTTTGGTCTTCGCTGGGGGGAGAGATTGCACAAGTTAGTTTCTGACATTGGATTGTCTTATCAGGTCCCCATATTTGAGAAGGGCTATGAGAAGGATCCTGCTATTGTTGCCAAGGAAGCAATCCAGGAGGCTAATCGAAATGGTTCAGATGTCGTTCTTGTTGATACAGCTGGTCGAATGCAGGTATGATTGAATTTCTTAGCAGTTTTAGGAAGTCCCTGTAGGAGCACTATACACAGAACTAAGTAGAATATTGTCTTGGATACTAGTAGGGGTTTCTATTGTTAGTTTCAACATCCACCCTTACAAGCTGAGCTACTCTTTTTCTTGTTTTATCTTTCACTTCCTTAAAATTTATGCACAACTGTCATATTCCACAGGATAATGAACCACTGATGCGAGCACTTTCGAAGCTTATATATGTGAACAGTCCAGATCTGATCCTTTTTGTTGGTGAGGCACTTGTCGGAAATGATGCTGTTGATCAGTTATCAAAGTTCAACCAGGTTTGCCTATAATGGTGATGATAACTTTCCCATAATTTTAACGTTTGTTCCATCATTTGACACATTCTCTTATTTCTGCAGAAACTAGGTGACCTTTCACCCTCACCAAATCCAAGATTGATTGATGGAATTCTCCTTACCAAGTTTGACACCATTGATGATAAGGTACACAGTCATGGTCTTTTCGCATTAGCAAATTTGATGCCTCCTATGTTACTTTACCGAGTTAATATTCTCCCTACTTATGTGATTATTTAAATATCAAAATATATTTCAGTCACGTTAGTATGTTTACTTTAGGTCCTATGATTTCTACTCATATCAGATATATACCGGTAGAAAATAGAGAGGATTCCTAGTACATTTTTATATCTACCTTATTTCTGTATGATATTGGCTTTGAGACAAGCTTAAATGGAACGACAAGATTCATATTACCGATTCCCACTTGAGTTTGAGATTAAGGTATAGCAGTTAGTGTTGTATTCTTATAGTCAACATTTGGCGCAGGTGGGAGCAGCGTTGTCCATGGTTTACATATCCGGAGCCCCGGTCATGTTTGTGGGATGTGGTCAGTCCTACACAGACTTGAAGAAGCTGAATGTCAAGTCCATAGTGAAGACACTCCTCAAATGAGAACACACAATCTGTCTCTACATTTTAGCTTGGCTTTTAATGTCTGTTTAAGAAGTGTTGAACACTTTGTATGTTGCTGCTTCAGTTCTGTTTGTAACTTTGTATTCTCTCATCTGTGATTTCTCACTATTTTGATTTTGAAGGTGAATCATTTGACTTAATGGTGTATATTAGTTTACTAACTACTCAACCCCCCCCCCCCCCCCCCCCCCAAAACCAAATGGATCCGGTGTTTGATATTTGCTTTGGGTCTCAAGTAATTTGGATGCACCGGGAAGTCTAGTTAAAGATGGGATGAGTATTTACTATTCCACCATATCCTTTGAAGGCAATATGAATACTCATCTCGCGATGTATTACCTATATTTCATACTAGTGTACATTTACCATGTTTATTGAAATCGAAAACATATGAAATGCCTAAATAAAGGAAAGAAAAAGAACCCAAAATGGTCACAATTAGGTAATTGGATTGAATTTTGAACCCTTTAAATGTTTCTTCCCCTTGCTATCCATTAATGGAGTAAATATTTAGGGAAGGGATAAATAACATCCAAACTTGATTCATATAAATGGTGAATGTTAAACCAGGAATATATAATCGTTGATTTTTTTTATTTATTTTTTATTATGAATATGTACTATCCTCATTAATTTATATTCGTGTTGTGTACGAAACATTAAAAGAAAAAACACTTCCTACTAGAGTTTATTTTTTTCCCCAAGAATCAAACTTGAGACCTCAAATTAAAGTTTCAAGGAACCTTAACCATTGATCGTAAGAATATCGTATAGTAAAATAACTACTAAAAAAATATAACTGAATGTTACATAACAAGATCCGTTGTAGTCTAGTTGGTTAGGATACTCGGCTCTCACCCGAGAGACCCGGGTTCAAGTCCCGGCAACGGAATTTTTTCGTTTTATTCTTTTTATGTTTTTATTTCTTAATTGTGACTCGAGTAATCGGGGATATAGAAGACAAGGAAATCAATAAAAACGTGTGAATCAAAATTTGTTGTTGTTATACCATGCTAATATCATGTTAAATATTATTTTGAAGCTCGACTAGTCCAAATTTACATAGAAACATAGTGGGATATATTTTTTTTAAATTGTACTTTTTGAAAATTTACTTAAGACTCATAAAATGAAACGGCTCATTATGCTATTTATTATATGGGATATAAATGACAAATAAAATCCACTTAAATAATCATAATTCAAACTTCCCAACCCTATTTTTTTGGATTATCATAATTCCCACCTGTCATCCCCACATAGCTTCAATTACTCCAAACCTCATCCCAAACCTAGTCTCCTCAACAAAACCAAAAACTTAATATATTATAGTTAGAAAAAAATGCCAAAAACCCCTACGTTTCTCACATTAACTTTTTTTATATAAACATATATTTCCTTCTTTGCTATTTCTATTCATCACTTTGATAACTTTGTATTTTAGAAAGAAAAGAAAAAGTTGGCATTTTTTCTTGAGGGGAAAAAAAATGAAAAATTATAATTATTCTCTTTTAGCTTATTTTGTGATTTTTAGTTTTTTCACAAAATGTTTTAGTGAAGCAAGAGAGTTTATTGTAGATGGAAAAGAAAATTCTTGGAAAATTCCTTCTTCACCTGATGAATTTAATAAGTGGGCTGAGAAAACTCGTTTTCGAATTGGAGATTATATTGGTAACAATTTTTATTTTATGTTAATCTGTCGTTCAAATAGTTCGTAGCTAACAAAAATATTTATGATTCATTTGATAGTTTTTGTTGTTTAGCAAGTTAGCGTTAACATTTTATGAATAACTCGTAGCTAACATGATTTTTTGACGATTTATGTTATATATGTTCATTTCATGCTAGCAAGTTTATGTTTATATATATATATATATATATATATATATTTGAGAAGGGTCCAAGCTTAAAATAAGTGAAACGTAGATAATTTATTTTTAACGGTAAGGTCTTGTAAGATTCCCAAGAAATTCTTTGATTTCTTCTAGAAATCATTTGTTTCTCACGTTTGACATTTTGTTAATTGGCTTGATTGTATCTTTTTTATTCCATTTGAAAAAAAGGAAGAACAATTATCTTTTTTTCGTTCACGAAAATTTTTTGTAAGATTCTCAAAAAAATCTTTGATTTCTTCTAGAAACAAACCATTAATCATCTGCTTCTCACGTTAGAGATTTTGTTAATCGGCTTGATTGTATCTTTTTTTTGTTCCATTCGTAAAAAAGGAAAAAGGGTTATATTTCTTTTTGTTGTTCGTATCTCTCTTTAATTAAGCAATGTGTGATATCCTGAATATGGAGACATTACCAACTGATTTAATTTCACGACTTGAACACATATGAAGACAACTTTATTGTTTCACCCCATATATATAAGAAGTTAATTTCTCTATTTACCCTTTTAATTATAATTTTTTTATTTTTTTTTACAGTTTTGAATTATGATCCAAAGTCAGACTCAGTATTACAAGTAAATGAAGAAGATTACAACAATTGCAACAAGGCCCAGCCCATTAAATCATATCAAGATGGAGTAACCAAGATTTTGCTTGACAAATCAGGCCCATTTTTCTTCATAAGTGGAGCAAATGGGCATTGTGAAAATGGCCAAAAACTTAATGTGAGAGTCTTGTCACCTAAACATAGTTCATCAACTCGAGTGGAATTTCTGGCTCCAGCTCCGGCTCCGGAGAGTGGAAGTAGTGGCATGAAAGCTGGGATCATTGTAGGGTTTATTGTTATGTTGGCAAGTTTTACTGTTCTAGCATAGGTTAGTTAGTTAATTTTGTCTAAGTTTTAAATTTTAGTGGTTTTTATTTAATTAACAATGATGTAGTGCATGATTTATTTATGAACATTTTATTGGTCTTTGCTTATTTCTTTATTTGTTAGTATTTTTTTGTGGTTGTCTTTGACATGTTATTGGAGATATTTGTGCAATCTTGCTTCCACCCCTACCCCCACCCCCCACCCCCCACACACTTTTTGGTAAGTGAAAATAAGAAATATGTTTACACAATCATATTTATAAGTACATTTTTTATGATAAGTTTATCGTGTACTCATTCATCCTTAATCAGAGGTCCCAGATTCGAGTCTCCCTGAATATGAAATTGCGTTTGTTAAGGAGCATTTTACCTCCTAGTGTGGACTTCTCAGCGTGTCATTCTCCGATTAGTGGATGCGGTGGCATGAAAGTTGGGATCATTATTATATTGGTAAGTTTGTTGTGCTTTAAAGCATAATATATAAAATTGAACTGATAAACACACATATTTTTTTCTTACTATTCGTTATTTATTGTGTTTTACTATGATGCATTATATTTCTCATATAGTCCTCTAAATCAAGTGAGAAGTCTTTAATTTCAAGTTGTTGAATCACAAGAATTATATGAAAATTGGATATAAGCCAGATCAGTCTCTACCAAAATCTATTCATATTGCTCTAATAAATAAAAATAAATTAACCATTTATATATATATATATATATATATATATATATATATATATATATCGGAGGGTTCATCCCAAACGTCCTTTATTACTCCATTATTGATGTTGCTTTTAATATTTTGTTGCGTTGGAGATTTTGAAACAGGAAAAAAATATCCACGAACTTGATTAAATCTGAATTGACATATATAAAAGGAAAAGGGAACTAAGGAAGTGAACATTTTTTCCCATTCAACCCATGTGTGACTATATGCAAGGGTCAATGTGAGAAAATTTAGAGAAAATTATTGAAATTGTTGGTAACATTTAATAATTAAAAACAAACTATAAAATGAGAAACATTTTATATGAAGAAAAATAAAGAATATTAGAAAATGTGTATAGCTTTTAATTTAAGTAGTAGCAGGTATTTAATATTCACAGAATTCATCCATTTTTATTTATTAGAGCAATATTATAAAAATTCTGTGTAAATGGGTTAGCCCAATAATAATTGAATACTCTCTTCAATCCATTTTACTTGATATTTAATTTACACAGAATTTTTATAATATTTAAATGTTTTTTATGTGCTTTTATTTATTCTTTGATCTCAATTAATACTACTATATTAAATTGCATTAATCTCTTTACATATTTATTAAAATAAAAATAAAGGTGAAAAATTCATTAATTATATCTTAATTTTTTAAAAGGATAAGTATTTTTAAATAAGTTTTTTTTGTAACCATGTCAACTAAAATGAATCAGATGCAATATACACAAGATATTCAATTAGGCACATTTAAAAAAAATAAAAAATAAAAAATAATCAACTTCTGGCTCATAGCAAAGTACTGTTGGAATTTGTTTAGTGTTAAATATATTACAAATTTTTTTCTCTTTAAATTTTGTACCAACAATAGTATATTATTAAAAGTAAAATAGAAAGTTAAATATAAAAAAATGTTATAGAAAGAACGGAAAAGACTCAAATATGTCATAGAATATGAACCAAACTTTTAATGGATGACACATGAGTCTCTCAAAGTTCGATGACATATTTGAGTATTTTCTCCTTTTTAAAAATGATTTAACTAATGATGTAGCTGAATCAAAATTGATCACGTGTAAAAAAATAATTTTGCAAAATTAAAACTATTTTCAGTTAATAAACAATGTCATGAATGAGACTTTTCTCAAACGAAAATGAGGATGAACCATACTTTTTAACAAATGACATAAATGAATCTTTTATTAAAATTTTGATGATATATTTGAGCCATTATCCCTCGAAAGAATAAAAAGTGAAAAGTAAAAAGAAAAAATCTTGAGGAAAAGTGGGGTCTTTATGGTGGGGGGTGGGGTGGTTGGTAACTGTATTCATGTCTCAACTTGGTCTATTTTATTTCTAACTTCTACTACTCTGTTCCTCACTTTTGACTTCTGATTTTAGTGCCATCCATTTGATATTTATATGCTCAGATTATTTTTTTTGACTTTATCTTTGCTTTCACACCCCTCCCCCCCTCCTCACCCCCAACAAAACTTTCTTCTTCCCCTCTTGTCTGTTCTTTTTCACCAAAGTTCATGGATTAACCTCAAAGACTTTAATTGTAAGTCCCCTTTTCTTGATCCATTCTTCTTTTTATCTATACTTTTGTAAAGATTTTCATTAAATTAGCAATATAATTAAGTTTTCTGTTTTCATTTTTTCATTTAATTTGAGTCTTGATTAGTTTGCTTGCTATGCTATCATTTGTTTTTGTTGTCTAAAAGTGCTTATATACAAATTTAAAGCTGAAGGGGTCAATAAAGATTCAATCTTTATTGGTTAACATCTATGGGGTTGGTCTCTTTTTTGTTTATATACAAATTTACAGAGATTATTGCTTTGTTTTTTTCTATTTTTGTTTTACTAGTTAAATGAGTCTTGATTAGTTTGCTGGTTATGCTATTGTCTGTTTTTTGTTGTCTGAATTGATTGTATTCAAATTTACAGATGAAGGGGTCAATAAAGATTCAATCTTTATTGATTAACATCTATGGGGTTTGCCCCTTTTTTGCTTTAATACAAATTTACAGAGATTATTGCTTTGTTTTTCTATCTTTTTTGACTTGTTTTGACTAGGTAAATGAGTCTTGATTAGTTTGCTGGTTATGCTATCATCTGTTTTTGTTGTCTGAATTGCTTATATACAAATTTAAATGAGTCTTGATTAATTAGCTGGTTATGCTATCATCTGTTTTTGTTGTATGAATTGCTAGTGCACGTTTATATACAAGTTTACGGCTGAAGTGTTCAATAAAGAGTCAATCTTTATTTGGTTAAATTTTGTGGGGCATGTGCCTTCTGGGGTGGAAATGAAAAACGATCAAGTCTTTTAAAGGTAGGATGATTTTGGAGCCTAAATACTATGTACTAATGGTTGTTCTTTTTTCTGATTATCAGTTCACTTACATGTCAATATTTTGCAGAAGCCACTAAAAATGAATCATCCATAAAAATGAAACTAGGATTTGGAAGGTTTTCAATTTGGAGCATTTTGAGATAAAAGAGGGAGAGGGAGAGGTGGTTAAGTTTTGTGCGTGTGTGTGTTGGGGGGTGGGCTAGCAATTTAATCATGGAATGTCTATTGCCTGATCAAATGCAATTTTTTTTTTTTTGGAAAAGATGTCCTAGAACATGTTATTGGATTAGTGAGAGGTTCCTCTTTTCTTGTTCTGGAGATTGTGTGTCTGAGCAATACTTTTGAGATTTTAAATAAGGCTGATACCAAGATTCTTTTTATATGTCTACTGATATGATGATATTTAAAAAAGATACTAACCTTACGGTTTTGAGATAGTAAGTTTTCTATCTAATGTCTGAAGCTTTGGATATTGGAGTTCCAATGGAATGGATATGACCTCTTTGCACTTTGGTTGAAAATTTGTGAACTTCTCGAGTCAGCTAACATCGGTTGCTGTAACAATAATGTAATGCTTAGGAGCTTGACTGCAGCTAAGAAGTTGTGGATTTAGTGGTTTTAGGTGAGAGGAAAATGTGACAGGTACGAGACAAGCAAGTTTCTCTTGTGGTATTTGTTTCAGTTTGCGGCTCAAGCTTAACATATATCCATTTTCTGAAATTCAATTATATGGTAAGAAAACTGTCATAGCTACATAATTATCTGATTATGTGATAGGAGACAACGAGTCACACACAATAGGGAAGATCAAAGCACCTAGTTTTGGGTGAAGACAAAAAAATGTTCCGTTCGATAAATTCAATAATATTTTTGAATCAGATTAATGTATTTGTACCTGTTAGAAATAGGTAACATTTCTTTCAATGATGCTCTTACTATGTAGAATTCAGGTTCACATAATTGCTAAAACTAGCCAAGGCCCAAAGGCTAAATCCTCGAGGGCAAAAAGCTTAACTGTATAGGACTTGTGCAAAACCTAGGCTAAAAACGTTTAGCTCACAACTTCCAAACTATCCTCCATTAGTGTAGGAGTGAAGTCTTGTGTATCAGCTAGCTTAAGGGATTCGTCTCACGTAGCTTCTGCATCTACTGCAGAAATATACCTAGTAAGGCATCTTGGAAAGATTGGGGAATAGTATCTTCTATATTTCCCTCCTCGCTCTAACTCGGCCACAAGAGAGGACGGGCTTCAGGGAAATGAGACAATAAGTGAAGAGATTTAGCAATAACTGTGCTTTTTCCCTCCCCCTCCCCCTTGCTTTCCCAGTTAAATAAAGGGAAGAAAGATTGGGTTGAGCAACATAAGGTCTCAAGTTCAAATTCCAACTAAGACAAAAACACTAGGTGGTTTCTTCCCATCTGATCTAGCCTTGGTGGACGGAGTTACCTGCTACCTGTTGCTGATGGGAGGTGGCAGGTACTCGTGGAATTAGTCAAGGTGCGCACAAGCTGGCCCGGACACCACGGTTATAAAAAAAAAGGGAAAAAGATAGGAGAAGGAAGGATGGATCTGCTAGGTAGATATGTCGCAGTAAAGCTTTACAGAAAGGTCGTCCGTTTTGTAACTCGAGCATTGGTTATTACTGATCTTGTGAATGAGTGACTAATTAGAATATTTTTAGCATCTTTGTCATTTTTAAAGCACTTGATTGAACAAGCAGGATCTGCAACATCTTAAATTCAATTTATTCCAGTTGCCTTCTTCATTTTTCTGAACTTATTTTTTCCTTTTTCTTTCATGTTAGAAATTGTTGTTGAACTAGCTCAATATATGATTCTCTTTTCGTGGTTCCATTTTGGAAAATAAAGCTTGCTGACATGGACTCCTGATGGCTTTAATGCGAGTAGAGAATGATGTAAAATG